GGTCGGTCCCTAACACACAGTTCATCTCTAACTGCCCTTTTATAGCGTCCCCCATGGAAAGGCGCCCGGCACAATCACAGAGGACCTGTTCCCAGACGTTGTATGAAAAAGCAGATTTGGGCGGCAGAAGGGGTGGACTGAAGTGGATGTTGCAATGGGGAGCCCAGTCCCCTCAGGACTGGAGACTTGTTTTTCCTGTTGCAGAAGTGTTGCCAGCTAGCAGCCCTCAACTGTCCGGCCTTTCTAGAAATCGCCCTCAGCTAAGGAGAGCCTCCTAGCCAGGAGCCGTCTGCACCAATGACAGATCAGCATGGCTTTATAACAGCCCGGCCCCCTCACCTCACTGCAGGACAAGTCTGCAGGGCACCAGGGAACCCACCCTGAGCTCAGTCTCTGTTGAGATCTGAAACACAACCTAGTAGCTCTTTGTGCTCAATCCTGCCTCCTTCTCTTCCCCCACAATTGTCGATCTTGAAAGCACTCCCCAAAAACTTCCTGCTTGCAAATTTCTGTCTCAGAGTTTGCTCTCTGGGAGACTTGACCTGCAATATTTATAATTACACCATAACAAAAATAAATTGTAGATGACATTGCATTTCAGCTCATCTCTTAATTCTGCTAAGTTACATTTTAATCATCTCTGATTAACTTATTATCAAATATCCCCAAAGAAGATTAGAGAATATTTCCTACATTTTTCAAGTCTCCAAAAGCCTACCCAGACTATCTTTAGTCTCAAATAAATGACCTCACTTGACAGAAATCAAGGCTAAACATTATTTCCCTAACCTCCTTCCTCCCACTCCTAAATTTCTTTGTGTGCTGACGCATACTTTTCTCTTTTCTTCCTTTCTCAGATAATAAAGTGTCTCTTTCCATACCAAAGTGAATTCATACTACTTAGTTCTTACCCTATGGCTTCCTGACTTCTTCTAAACAATTTTTCATCGAAGTTTTTAATCTTCCCATCTGAAAGTTTCCTTCCTTTTAGTTTATTAATATCTAAAACATTATTTCATTAACATCTTTAATCTCTCCATCCCAAAGTTTCCTTTTAGTCTATAAATACCGTTGCCTATTAAAAAGCAAAAACAAAAACAAAACCTTGAGATCTCTTTTGTTTCCTTAATATGCGTCTGTTTCTCTCTTAGGGTTTCCCACTAAGCAAGGCAGGGAAATCTATAACCACTGTATCTACTTCATTTTGGGACCATCCCTCAATAAACTACAGTCTGGGTTCTGTCCATATAGTTCTCTGATAAAGCACCTCTCTGCATAACTTCCTAATAGTCAAATGGCTTTTCCTTAGTCCTTTTCTTTCTCAACCATTCTATGGTATTTTACATCATTTGGCCATGTTTTATTCTTAAAACTCTTTCCGCATTACATTTTCCCAGAAGCTGTACTGCCCAAGCTTTCTACCAAACTCTTTAACCTCATTTTCTCAGTTTCTACTCACACACTACGGGCACTCCCAAAATTCTGTTCTTGAGTCTTTCCTCTTCCAACTATAATCTTCCTCTTTTCTACTGATCCCATTTTTCCTCTTCTTGGCCTACAAAAACTATGATTCTCAAATGAAATCACCCATTTGACACTTTTCTCTTTAGCTCTAAACCACATTTTTACCATGAAGTAATATGTTAATTATTGATTTCAAAATATTAAGAGCTATTCTTTATTATGATGTGACTATTTTTATTCCCAGGAACTAAGCATTTATGCTAAATGTGCGCTGAATATTCTCAATATCTTTTCAGGACTTATTGAGATAATAATATACATTTTACCTTTGATATATTGTACTATAGCGTTAGGCTCCCAGAAAGTCAATTATTTTTATGTGCCTGAAATAAATTCTGCTTTAAGATGTATTATTTTATTGATTTACTTATTTTTTTTAATTTTATTTTTCTAGAGACAGGATCTCATTATGTTGCCCAAGCTGGATTCGAATTCCTGGGCTCAAGCAACCCTCCTGCCTCAGCCTCCTGAGTAGCTGGGATATAGCACATGCCATTGTAAGAAATGGAAATTATAACAAAAGCTCAGAGCTAACAGCTTAGTTTCTGTCCCCTCAGCTTGCTTGCTTACAATATATAGCTTAAGTAAAGTCATGATAGGCTTCGGTGGGTGCTGGGCCTCAAAAGGTGGTAACCGCAGGTCATTTCCTGATAAGAGGTTGAAAAGACCTGGGATGGGGAGAGGGAGGGCCAAACACCGCATGACTCTGCAGTAAAATGCTGAAATGAAATGCAGACGGAAAGCCCTAATGCCAGAACCAATCAGCTGGTAAGAGGAACCAACCAGAAAAGAGATTAAATAAACTGCGGAAGACTGCAGGAGGAGGGAGGGGACAAACTACTTAAGGGATATCCGCAACCCAAGCTGGGGTCCTCCTCAGAATAGAGGCCACTGCAATTGGCGCTCTGAGACTCGGTCCCTAGCTCGAGCTAGTCAATAAAACTCCTTTTGATGATTTCAGCCTCAGTGACTCTGTCTCTTTGTTCTGTGGTACTGCGGTTTCCCGCTCTAACACCATCACACCTGGCTTGATATCATTTTATTTTTTAGCATACTGCTTGATAAAATTTTGCTCAAGATTTCAAAATCAATATGCATAAATGAAAATGACTCACAAATTTTATTGGAGCTGTCTTCACTGGGTTTTGTATTACGGTTATTCTTTTCCTATACTATGGAAAATTTTATAGACCATGAAAAGTGTTTCATAACAGTTCCAAGTACTCACCCATAACATCTTCTGAGTCTAGAACTCATTTTTTAAGGGAGTTCTTTAAAACACTAAATTTCTTCCATGGTTTTGTTACTTCCATATCAATTTTAGCTAGATAAAATATAGAAACACTTGTTAAAATACACAAGTGAGCTGGCAGAACAATAAAAAGAAATCTTAAGAGACCAAAATTTACGATTTACATGAAAGTGAGAATCAACTGGATTGATCCCTGGTGGCCATGAAATTGGGTTTTAACAGAATTAACACACAAGGGAAAGAGGACAGAGACTGGATTCTATACAAAGTGGAGAGTCAGATCAGAGAATCTGCATAAAGGGATAAGTGGGTGAATTAGGGGAAATGCCTTACAGGAAGATACAAATTATTCCATATGCTTAGGTTATAAAGATAGTCCTCTTTTTTTTTTTTTTTTTTTTTTTGAGACAGAGTCTCACTCTGTTGCCCTGGCTAAGGTGCTGTGGCGTCAGCCTAGCTCACAGTAACCTCAAACTCCTGGGCTCAAGTCATCCTCCTGCCTCAGCCTCCTGAGTAGCTGGGACTACAGGCAGGCACCACCATGCCCAGCTAACTTTTTCTATATGTATTTTTAGTTGGCCAATTAATTTCTTTCTATTTTTAGCAGAGACGGGGGTCTTGCTCTTGCTCAGGCTGGTTTTGAACTCCTGACCTTGAGTGATCCACCCACCTCTGCCTCCCAGAGTGCTAGGATTACAGGCGTGAGTCACCGCGCCAGGCCTCTTTTTGTTTTTTACCTTTCAAAAATGAAATTTATTTAAGACAGTTTTTAGACCGGGAGTGCGGTGGCTCATGCCTGTAATCCTAGCACTCTGGGAGGCCGAGGCGGGAACATTACTTGAGCTCAGGAGTTGGAGACAAGCCTGAGCAAGAGGGAGACCCCATCTCTACTATAAATAGAAAGAAATTAACCAAACAACTTAAAATAGAAAAAATTACCTGGACATGGTGGCGTGTGCCTATAGTCCCAGCTACCAGGAAGCTGAGGCAGCAGGATCACTTGAGCCCAGGAGTTTGAGGTTGCTGTAAGCTAGGCTGACACCACAGCACTCTAGCCCAGGCCACAAAGTGAGACTCTGTCTCAAAAAAAAAAAAAAGAAAAAAAAGACAGTTTTTAGTAAAAGCAAAATACATAGGTCAAAAGAAATCAATAATACTGTTAAACTGGTAGTGAAAAACAGTTAGTTTTTCTGCCTTTTCTCTACTCACCCATGATTTCCTTTCTTCAGAAACAACCACTTTTAACTCTTAGCTGTTTGATATTGTGCTTTGTTCTGCTTTTTTGGACTTTTCTATATTAGGCGTGATTGACACTCTATCATTCCACACACATCTCTCTCTTTTCTCTCATCCTCCCAGTGTGATATACTGATTATTGACATAATTATGACTCACTTACATGACAAATATTATTTACAGTTAAGGCATGCAGTGTAGTTTTTGAGTTTTTATTTTTTCCTAGAGTTCATAATTAACTCAGTTTTTTCAAAATTTTGAAAAATCCACCAATCACTAATTCATCCCCATGCTCTCTGAAAAATGAAAAATCTCTAGTCCATATTCAAGTACACCGGTTACTCTACCAGTTATTCTTTTTGAGGCAACCCATCTGAACTCTCCGCCTTTAGGCATTTCCTGTTGTCTTCATGCTGTCCTCCCCTACCCCTTCCCCTCTTTGTCATAGTTATTTATACTACTATTGTAGAAACTTTATGGCTACCCTGTAAGCAGTACAATTCCTTTTCTCCCTCAACAACAATCTGTATCTCTAAATTTCCCACTTTATAAGAACTACAACCACTCAATTTACCTTTCTTCCTTTTCTTCAACATTCCCACTTGTATTCCCAACTGTCTTTAAAACTCAGCTAATAACATTTGCATTCTACTTTGTAATTAAGTAGATAGTCCTCTTTCTTTTCTTCTAAGTATATTATATTTTTGCCTTTCACTTCTAATCCATAATCGATATGAAATGATTTTTTTGTGTGTGGCGTAAAATAAGAATTGAATTTCAACCCAGAAGCAGTTTCTGGCTCCTTCTCTAGTCTCTTCCTGGTTCGGCCCGCCTGCCTCCACTCCAGCCTCCATCCTGTCCATCAGGGCGACCCAGAAGTCCTACAGGATGTCCACCTCTGGCCCCCCGGGCCTTCAGCAGCCTCTGGCACATCAGCGGGCCCAGTGCCCGCATCAGCTCCTCCGGAGCGGGCAGCAGCAGCAGCTTCCGGAGCGGCCTGGGCATGGGCATGGGCCTGGGTGGGGGCCATGCCCGGGCCGGTGGTGTGGGGGGCATCACAGCCGTCACGGTGAACCAGAGCCTGCTGAGCCCCCTCAATCTGGAGGTGGACCCCAACATCCAGGCCGTGCGCAACCAGGAGGAGGAGGAGATCAAAACCCTCAACGACAAGTCTGCCTCCTTCATCGGACAAGGTGCGGTTCCTGGAGCAGCAGGACAAGATGCTGGAGGCCAAGTGGCGCCTCCTGCAGCAGCAGAAGACGGCTCGGAGCAGCATGGACATGGGCATGTTGGACAACCACATCAGCAACCTTTCGGCGACGGCCGCACGCACTGGGCCCGGAGCAGCTGAAGCTGGAGGCGGAGGGCTTGGCAACACGCAGGGGCTGGCGGAGGACTTCAAGAATAAGTACGAGGGTGAGATCAACAAGCGTGCAAGAGATGGAGAACGGATCTGCCCTCATCAAGAAGGATGTGGGTGAAGCTCACATGCACGAGGTGGAGCTGCAGTCCCGCCTGGAAGGGCTGACGGACGAGATCGCCTTGCTGAGGCGGCTGCACGGAGAGGAGACCCGTGGGTTGCAGAGCCCCAGGTCTCGGGCACACCCGTGGCCCCGTCCACGGGCAACAGCCGCCCCCTGGACGCGGGCAGCCCCATCGCTGGGGTCCGCGCCCAGTACGAGGACATCGCCAACCGCAGCCGGGCCGAGGCCGGGGGCATGTACCAGGCCGCGTAGGAGGGGGAGCCGGAGGTTCTGGCAGAGAAGCACGAGCATGGCCTGCGTCCCACGGAGCCGGGGATCTCCGACATGAACTACAGCATCAGGCGGCTCCAGGCTGAGATCGAAGATCTCAGAGGCCGCAGGGCTTCCCTGGAGGCCTCCATGGCGGACGCCAAGCGGCGCAGGAAGCTGGCGGTTGAGGACACCAAGGCCAAGGCGGGCGAGCTGAGCGCCGCCCTGCAGCGAACCAAGCAGGACATGGCGCGGCAGCTGCGCGACTACCAGGAGCTGATGGACGTCAAGCTGGCCCTGGACGTCGAGATCGCCACCTACCGCAAGCTGCTGGGGGACGAGGAGAGCCAGCTGGAGGCCGGGATGCCGAACACGAGCATCCGCACGAAGACCGCCAGCGGCTTCTCAGGTGGGCTGAGCTCGGCCCACGGGAGCCTCGCAAGCCCGAGCCTCCTCGCAAGCCCTAGCCTCGGCCGCGCCCTGAACTCCTTCTCGCCCAGCTTCGCCTCGGGTGGGAGCCCCGGCTCCTTCAGCCGCGCCAGCTCCTCCAGGGCTGCGGTTGTGAAGAAGATCGAGACCCGCGATGGGAAGCTGGTGCCCGAGTCCTCCGATGTCCTGCCCAAGTGAGCCGGGGCCCCTGCGGCCCCTCCAGCCTACCCCCTCCCCTCGAGTGGCCGCCAAATAAGCCTGTTGGGGGAGGCAACTGTGCCAGGGAATATAGGGGGACAGGAGACCCGCCTAAGGCTCAGCCTCAGCCCCCAGCCCACCCTTGGGGAGAGTTCACTGCCTGGTATACCCCTCTTACTTGTGCCCCCAACTTAAAACCAACTCAACTGCTGTTTCCAAAATAAAGCCTCAGCTAGCTCTGCCAACCAAAAAAAAAAAAAAAAAAAAAAGAATTGAATTTCATTTTTCACACATCTCTTCCTTTCTAGAGAATAAAGCCCCAAATTGTTAGCATACCATTCAAGGCATTTCATGATCAAGGTCCACTTCCTTTCCTGTTATCTCTGACTGCCACCCTGTGAATCCTTGAATCAGATATACCAAACTACTGACAATTCTTGAGAATGTGAAATTATTAAAAAGGTAAATCTATATTTGTAGATAATACAACTGTACACCTAGAAAATCCCCCAGAATTATTTGAAAAACATAAAATTAATGAACATTTAGAATAATCATTAAAATGTTTGCATCCATGAAAATGTTTGTAAGAATACCAAATTATATGAGATATGCTTATAATATAATATTAACTGATAAAAACGGAATTCAAAATTATACCTACCATATGGTTTAGTCTAAGTTTAAAAAAAATGTACATATGAAATAAATGTTAAAGAAATATACTAAAATGTTAACATTAATGGTCATTGTGTTTAGGAGGAAAAATTTTTCCATTATTTCCAGGTTTTGTAAGTTAGTTTCATAATAAAAAGTATTAAATAAACCATTTAATATTTGCACATAAATATCAATACAACTTATCCATGATTCGAGAGGTTCCACAAAATTTCAATGCCTTGATAAACAGGGACCTTAATTTTACATTGGTCATAACTATTAAAACAATGAAACATTCATTTAGAAATATTAAGTGTTTATGCCTAGAAAACACCAAGGTTCATTGTCACTGCAGTTATAAGACTCAGTAATAAAGAGATTAGGGGAAAAAATCTGTCAAGGTAGTATAATTTGTAACATAATATAAAAATACCATTTATTGTGCTTTTTTTTTTTTTTTTGAGACAGGATTGCACTGTGTTGCCCAGGCTGATCTCAAACTCCTGATCTCAAGGTATCCTCCTGCCTCAGCCTCCCCAAGTGCTATAGGTACAGTGTGAGCCACCACAACTGGCCTTTATTGTGTATTTTCTCTGTTATACCTAGGTGACATGCTAATTACTTTGAATATATTATCTCATTTTTAATCCTCAGAGTAACTCTATGACATAGATATCATCATTCACAGAGGTGGTTAAGAGCGTATCATCTACACAAAGTAGAACCAAGAAAGTAAATTTGTTGATGAGTCCTAAACTAAATTCTCAGATAATATGTATGAGATTCTATTTTACAACCAAAAGTGCTCCTTAAGACCAGCTATCCCAACATTTTGCAGATAAAGAAATTCTAGTATTCAGAGAGAAAAGAGATTTGTTGATGATCACACAAGTAGTCGATGGGAGTGACAAGAATTATTGTTTCATCATCCTTTCCAGTCTACCATGCTTTGTTTCCTGATCACTGAGTTCAAACCAAAATGACTGAATATTTATTTGCCTTCCAAAAGTTACCCTGATAATCCACAAATGGTTTCTTTTCAAAAATGATTTTAAAAACTCTCATGCCCATTCACATACTTTGAACATTGGAGTTTTTAAGAACAGCACCTTAAGACCACATACCGAAAGACCATCTGCTTTCTGAAAATAACCACTTGAATAAGCAGCACAGCTTTCAATATATAAATTCTCTATTAAAATGTTTATGAAGCAATTCTTCCTTTTGTTGCTACTAAATGAAAACACTATATCTTCTATTAAAAATTCACTAAGGAATGCCATTCATAAAAAGATTCAATTAAGTATATGAAACTTATCCCACTGTGACTTGTATTGAGTTGTTCTGCAAGACAGTATAATCCTATTTTTGTTCTGAGCTCATCTCTGGAGCAAAAAGATTGAATTTCATTATGAAAAAACAGCTCTGCTCTGCCAATCAGAGTCCCAGAGGAATCTGACTATGTGAACTGCCCAGGACCTAGGGTGAGAAAGAGGCTAGTCATGCACTGTCTCTCCTCTCTCTCTCCATACACACATACAAAGCCTTCCTACGTTATCACTTCCATTTAAGATTGACCGGAGTTAATTTTTTTAACAAATAGAAAGAATACCACAGCATTCATTCATTGTGGGTTTTTTAAAATTTTTTTTAAATACTTTTTTTAGAGATGGGGCCTCATTATGTTGCCCATGCTGGTCTTGAACTCCTCACCTGAAGCAATCCTCCCATCTCAGCCTCCCAAAGTGCTGGGATTATGGACACGAACCACCACGCCCAGCTCACTCATTCTTGACTAGAGGCCTAGCAAAAGTCATGCACCAATCCAAGGTTGATCTGCTGAAAATTATAGCTAACTACACTCAGGCCTTACTTAAATGTCCCCACTGAAATTTTCTTCTCTTGTCTCTGAAGATATAAATTCTCTATTCTGTCTCTTACATCATAGACTGTTCCAGACAATCTAATTAAACTTCTGTCTCTGTTCAGAAATCCCACTACAGGAACAATAGGCTTTCCATATTCTTCTTGAATAACCTCAAATGATGGAAAACTCACTAGTACTTCCTGAGGCAATTTGTGCTTTGTGGGGGCAGCTCTGGTAGGAATTTTTCACTGCATTGCTCAGGGGAGTCTGGGAATATTTGCTTAGATGTCCCATGGGTTATTAGACACATCTATCTGCACAAGAGTGCAATAATTAACCCCTATGAAGATGGCAGGTTCATGCCCTCACTCATTCCACCTACCCAGCACTTCCCATGTGCCTTCATGTTCTATAGAACCTCGACCTTCAGTCATGAAAAATGTACACAGTAGGGGCCAGGCACAGTGGCTTTCACGACCTGTCAATCCTAGCAGGATCCTGGGCAAACCAGGCCAGGTGGATCCTTTTGAGCTTAGGAGTTGAGACCCACACAGCATTAGGAGACAGCGGACCAGCCCTCTATACATGAAGGATAGCGCACGGGAATACAGGGGCACTGCCTATTCCCATACTCAGGAGGCTGAGCCCAGAAGAGGATCCCTTGAGCCCAGGAGTTTTGAGTTGTTTGTGACTAGGCTGAACGCCATGGCACTCTAGCCGGGCAACAGAGTGAGACTCTGTCTCAAAAAAAAAAAAAAGTACACACAGTGAAAATTAGGAGCATAAGGCATTAGGAGCTATAATTAATCTTTTTTACTACACTCTGTCACATATTTTTAGCTCCGATCAGCCCAACCAACAATCATTTTTAAGTGCTGATCTACATACTGGCTTCATCGCATCACGCGATGGAATTTGTTTTTAATCTTGAGTCCCGTTCCTAAAGATCACAATTCAGAAAGTCTAGAGTTAAGCCTGGGAAATCAAATTAAAAAAAAAAAAAAAAAAAAACACCCTCTTCAAGAGACTCTGATACATATCCCAAGTTTAAGAACTGATCTAAATAACTACAGTGTCTTTAGAGTCTCTTTAGTATTCTATAGCTCAGAATCATTGGTATGCTTACTGGTATTTAAACTCACTGTGTACACTAATTGTGACTTCCACCCTACAACTATGACAACACACCTTCTCGGCCGAGCGTGGTGGCTGACGCCTGTAATCCTAGCACTCTGGGAGGCCAAGGCGGGCGGATCTCAAGTTCAGGAGTTCTAAACCAGCCTGAGCAAGAGCGAGACCAGCCTGAGCAGAGGCAAGACGCGTCTCTACTAAAAATAGAAAGAAAATTATTGCCAACTAAAACTATATAGAAAAAAATGCCGGGCATGATGGCGCATGCCTGTAGTCCCAGCTACTCGGGAGGATTGCTTGAGCCCAGGAGTTTGAGGTTGCTGTGAGCTAGGCTGATGCCCTGGCACTCTCTAGCCTAGGTAAGAGAGTGAGACTGTCTAAAAAAAAAAAAAAAAAACACCTTCTCAATTCCCTACTGCTGCAGGTTGGATTACATGGGAGTCAGAGGTTAGCATTCAGGAAGTTTATTAGAGAGTGACTGGTAACTATGGAGTGAGAAAATGAAGCAGGATTGGGCAGTGAGAAACTGGGCTGAGATTCCATCTAAACAAAGACATCGGCTGACCTCAGGCAGCTCTGAGGCTGGAATAGCCCTTCTAACTTGTTCTGAGTTGGGACAAGTGATTGGGTCTTTACATCAAGTATCAGCTGTCATTGGATGCGAGCTACCTCAGCAAGGGGTCACGACCTTGGCCAGGTGACTTTCTTCCTCAGAAGGCAACCAATGGGGGAATAAACTCCACAGTCCTGAAGGGGAATCTGAGTGCACCTCACAACATCCACTCCACCTACCTTCACGGGAAAAAAAAGAGATAGCAAGAGTTAAACCTGAGCATTTCTCAGTAGAGAACAAATAGTCTTTAATTTTCCAATAAGAGCACATTACTATCTCTCACTTCCTCCCATTTCAAGCACTAGATATTTATGGAATGATTCACCATGACAATGAAGTGTGAATTTCTATGTGGTATTATTTCTAATCCCTAAATGGCACTTCTTGGGAGCTCTTCAAGGCTACAGTTTTGATTAATCAGAATAAATTGCTTTAAAGAACTGGTCAATTTTTTTTGTTTGTTTAAAAGATGTGTAATTAGTACATGAATTTCTCCATCATTCTTCAGAAATTCTTTCAGAATTCTTCAGAAAGAAAAATGGGAATTCCTGACTCTGAATCATGCCCTATATTATGGTAATCATCATTGCATCATCTGATTTAATAGGTATATCAGACAAACAGATCATGTTTTGGCACCTCCAGATCAGACAGGTGCCTTTAGGAGCTCATATCTAGTTGTGAGAAGTGGTAGTGTTCCTGCAGGTGTGAACAGCTCTTGGCCGAAGAAAAACCCAAGCGGCACACGGAGAGTCGGAGGGTCAGCTTTATTTCGCCAGCGGGCTCAGAGAGGCATATCTGCCACCAGACTCTGAGCACCCCTTTTTTGTTTTCTTTTAGTTTTATACTTTTGGGGGGGTTATAGTTAGCCAATGGTAAGTTTACACAAAAGTCACCTCATTTACATAGTAGTCAGCCAATCAGAAGTATGTCCCAAAAGTTACTTCATTTACATAGTAGTCAGCCAATCAGATGTCCCAAAAGTTACTTCATTTACA